AAAAAATAATGTGGACAATATAATCTCAGTGGGAATAAATAATGTTGCTTATTTGACTTTTAAATTAATCATCTGACAATAGGCATCCTTGACTGGTTTTGCAATTTACTTTCAGTTTATTTCCAAAGACATTCTTTGTAAGGATCTTATACTTTTTGAAATTTACATAGTGTCCCACCAAGTAAACTCACATGGATAATTTAAATTTGGGAAGAAAGGACTAGAAGGCCCATTTAGTCTATATACCTAACCACTATATCCTGTGAAATAGATTGAATATGTTTGTCCCCCCAAAATTTATATATTGAAACACTAATCCCAATGTGATGGTATTTGGAGATGGGAGCCTTTGGAAGTAATTAAGTCATGTAGGCGGAATCCTCATGAATGGGATTAGTGCACTCATATGACCACATTTTAAAACTTCAAGTGTGTATCAACAGCTGGTTAGAAAAACTATTAGTGTAATTAATATGTAGGGACTTTAAGCTTGGTAAAAACTTTGAAAATGGTTAATGAATTCACTGTTGGGAAATCACATGAATGTAAATAGCATAGGAAGATCTTTAGAGAATTTAGAAAATTCATAGTGGTGGTAAGTTTATATACTTGTGGGAAGTGGAAAGGCCTTTACTTGTGGCAGATACTTGTGAGTACATCACAAAAGTTTTCTTGATGAGAAACAATGAAATATATTGAAAATTGGGTAACAATAAGATTTTATTCACATGTTAATGATAATCAGAGAATTTATATGTTGAGAAAACATGCAAATATAATAAATGTATTAAGGTCATTATAACAACATTCCTATCTTTCTCCATATTTTTTTTTTTTTTTTTTTTTTTTTTTCTATCTATATGATTTATCACAACAATAAGATATCAGTTTTCTCCTATCAGCTAGGAAAAGCATTAAGAAAAATTTCATCATGTATAATTCCTGTTGAAGGTATGGGAAAATAAGAACTCCAATGTATTGTTAATAGGAGTATAAATTCAAGCTATTTTGGTATTTTTTTTTTTTTTTTTTTGTGACCGGTAAGGGGATCGTAACCCGCGGCTTGGTAAGCACACCGGCCATCCCTATATAGGATCCAAACCTGTGGCCTAGGCGCTCCCAGTGCCGCCGTGTAGATGTTTTGGTCATATATGAACACAGAACATGATTTTTCCAAATGGTAACCACCCTTGGGGCCTTGAATTTTAAAAAACCCATATATGTCAATGAACTGTCTGATTTTTCTGTCTAATTTCTCCTTACTCAGACATTTCACTTACAAAAAGGTGTCGGTAATGACCACTCATGAATACAAAATATCAACTACATTTTTTACCTACGTTTCTTAAAGTTTGGCTAAGACTCTGTCTATCACCTAATGTACTGCATAGGTGGTTTGTATGTGTTAATTAACTTGAGTGTAATAATTATTAAACAATGAATATGTATATCAAATCATCACATTATATATCTTGAATGTATACAATATTGTCAATTAAATATTTTAATAAAAATGGAAAATCAAAAAAAGAGCCACATTTAAGGATCTCTTTGATTACAATTTTTTAAAAAGGAAAATGCCAGTGTCTGCTATCAATTGAAATGTAATAAACGTACTGAATTTATATTTAGAAAGCCGTAGAAGGGCAGTCAAGTTCACGAAAAACTTCTGTAAAATATTAGCTTTCTTTCATACACTTGATGTAAAAGTACTACAGACAAAGGAATGATATTCAGAAGTGACAGGCACAGACTCACTGGGATCAGAAAGTTAGCTTTTTCTCATTTGAGCAGCACCTAATTGTGTCTCGTCTTTTCTCTCCATCTTCTTTTAACCAGAACATATGTGTACAGCTCACGAGATTCCCCAGGGACTGGGACCTTGTATTTATTAGTGTATTGAAATATAGAGACTTGTTACTTGTTTTGAACTCCGTGTAACACACACCGCTATGCTTATTTCAGCATCATCTTATCGCGGTCTCCTGCTGTGCTTCAGAGGAGGAAATAACGAAGAGGTTTCAAACTGAGACAGAAGCAAACGGAGCCCAGGTAGGATCAACCCCAGCCACAGTCTGGGAAGATCTGTTTCTTCAGTGCAGTTTTTGTAGAGACTAAACCATGAAATCAAGACAATTCTGACTAATGAAATATGGTGAATTTGATTTATTGAAACATCTTGATGTTTTATTCCTTCTCTTGAAGACTAAAGTTATCATCTTCGGGAAGTGTATTTTATTAGCACTCAAGAAAAACTGCAACCTCTTTATGGTGATTTCTTTCCATTTGAAGAAGTCCTTATGAGTTTTCTTTCTTTCTTAAGATTGAGACTGCTTATCACTTATATTGTTTTATTGTTTCTGAGGAAAGAACCCTTAGTCACACAGCTGAATCCAAACATATGTGATATTGCTCTCTAAAAACTTGCCTGTCTTCATTTGTGATTAAGGGAAGGTGACATAGAAGAGAAAACAGGGATGATACAGGTATTTTTCTGTGTCCTCGATGCTAAGCTGATTAGTGTGAGTTTTTGATAATTTGGAAATACAATGTGGCAGAAGTGTGAATCAGAACCGTGAACCCTGATTTCATTCTAGCCTTATCACCAGCTGTGTATTTATACTTGGCAAGTGATTAAACTCTTTATATCTTTTCATTGCAGAATGGGGATAAAAGGGAAATACAATGTGGCAGAACCGTGAACCCTGATTTCATTCTAGCCTTATCACCAGCTGGGTATTTATACTTGGCAAGTGATTAAACTCTTTATATCTTTTCATTGCAGAATGGGGATAAAAATAGATCCCATCTCAGATGGTTGTTGTGTGAATTGAATGAAATAATTTAAATAAGGTATTTATAACAATGTCAGACACCCAGAACATTTAAAATAGCTCTGAGCTCTACTGTTATATAATTAGTACTGTTGTTGTTACATTTTAGATTGGAAGATTTCCCAAGACATCGTTTTCCTTATTCTGCTTTCATTCTGTACCAGGCTGTAACTTTTCCATACTTAAGCTCACGTGATTTGAAGGAATCAAGGGGGCGCCCACAGTGGGTTTGAGCACGTGTTTATGCAACGACAGGCTCTAAGTGTTCACATTTAGAGGCGAGGACAATGGTAAGTTAAAGAAAATAATCAATTTCTTAGACATTATTTGGATGAAACGAGATAACCTATTATTTGAAGTACCAAGTTTGTATTTCTGCCTGAAACATGGTTCATTAAAATGTAAAGTGGTAAAGATTAAAATAAGTGAAGGTGCTCACTTATTCCTCGTACTAAAGAGCTTATAATGTTGGCCTATTTTGGTAGATTGCATCACAAATGAGTCTAAATTAATACATACCTTCCTTTACTTCTAAATTCCAAAGCAAACACAGAATATCCCTGTAAGTGACAAATATGTGAATCTGAATGAGCCTTTTATCTCTGAAGGGAAACATGAAAAGAGGCAAACACAAAAGGACACAGATCAGATTATCTGAATTCTCTATCCATCTTTGTCACTTACTCGTCCTGACAGTAAGACCAGCTCACTAAAGTCCTCTGATTTCATAAAAAAAAAAAAACCTTCTAAAATGATTACTTTATATTTTACTATCACCATGATCTAAACAAATTCTGAAGGATTCTATCATAAGTTCCCATAGTACAAATAGACAAAAATGTTGCTAAACCAAAAACAAAGTTTCTTCTTAAAAACTTGCACAGCACACATTAGTTAAGGCTGTGTAAGAGCAGTATACAATAATTTGTTCTTTATTTGCAGGTGTGTGTGTCCTCATGCATGTTTCTGTTTTTGTAGTTTTAGTCACTTTCAGAATTTGAATAGGAACTTTTCATTATATTATGTGAAAGCAGTTTTCAAACGTCAGTATGAATGTAAAAAGGATTTTCAGAAAAGAGTTAACTTCATCCAATAAGTTACTGAATATATTCTCCCTAATAGTATTTAATGGTGTTAAAGAATTAGTGTGCTTTTATTACCTCATCATGATTCTTTGTCTTCAAAGGATATCTCTTCTTCTCTCCGCATCAGTAGTTTAATTCTGGCCCCAAAGATGTCTCAGAAAAATTTCAGCACCGTCACTGAGCTGGTCCTTCTAGGATTTTCCAATCACCCCCAGGCCGAGGTGCCCCTCTTCTTCCTTTTCTCTCTGGTTTACATGGTTAATATCTTTGGAAACACAGCAGTTATTGTTTTGGTTATAATTGATTCCTGTCTCCAGACACCCATGTATTTTTTCCTATGCCACTTGGCCTTTCTCAACATATTTTACACCACAGCTGTGGTTCCCAAGATGCTCTTCAACCTCCTTGCTTTCAAGAAAGTCATCTCCTACGAACTCTGCCTTGCCCAGACCTACATCTCCCTGTTCATGGGAGCCTCTGAGTGCATTATTTTAGCGATCATGGCTCTGGACCGCTACGTGGCCATTTGTTACCCTCTGCGGTACCTGGTAATCATGAACTGGTCTACATGTGTGCAGCTGGCAGTGGGAGCCTGGACCATCAGCTTCTTTGCCTCAGTAATTCCACTCTACTTCACCATAGCTCCCTTCTGTGGCCCTTACATAATTGACCATATTTTCTGTGAGGTACCTGTTCTTCTTCATTTGCTCTGTGGTGACACATCCCTGCAGGAGACCTTGATGGCAATAGGAGCATTTGGCACCCTCTTACTCCCCTTCCTCCTGATTCTCCTCTCCTACCTACACATACTGGTTGCTGTGAGGACGATGCACTCAGCTGAGGGTAGGAAAAAAGCTTTCTCTACCTGCAGCTCTCATCTGACTGTGGTGACCATTTATTATGGGACAGGGATGTTTATGTACATGAGGCCCAAATCTCTATATTCAGCTGAGGGTGATAAATTGATTTCCTTGTTCTATGCAGTCATCAATCCTACTTTGAACCCTCTAATTTATAGCCTGAGGAACAAGGAAGTGAAAAGAGCCTTGAAGAGAGTCTTAGAGAGATGGACAGTGTCCCAAAGGCAGAAGATAGCATCTTGAGATGCCAGTAATTAGAAATTTGTTTATTCTAATACAATCTTTTAGGCTAGTGACATATTCATGCCATATATTGAACTTCATTAGCTACAAATATGTGTAACTCTATGTCAGAATTATTACAAATATATTAGGTTGTTTTTCTCTGACAACACTTTACTATTACCCTCCCTTTCATGACCATTGTCGGATTATAATCCATGTATTGAATATTTCTATACATTAGAAATTTAATCATAATAACAAGCAAGTTTCATTTAATAAGGAAAGTGGAATTGGAATTTCAAGACAGGTTTTCTGCCTACGTAGTTTCTCATGGCCTTCGTATTTCATTATTTATTTTCCCTATAATATTTAGTCTGTTATTTTTTTTTCTTTATTGCTTAGTTGTCACAACATCCTCTTTGGTTACCCTATGCTCCATATATGTCTACATTGAAGCACCTGTTTTTCTAAATGCAGATATTTTTCTCATAACTTAGTAAATATAAATCAAAGTCAACAAATAATTAAATTTCAGAGGAAAAGTCTTCATGACTCTCAATTTCTGGATGTTTTCCAGATATCATGAAATGTGATTCAATTCTCCATCTCTAAGTTGATAAATCCTGATACTTTTGACAAATAGTGTCTTGGAAATGTTACTATAGCCCCTGAACTCTGTGCATTTGCTCAACTGATGCCTTCCTTAGGCACATAATTGCCACATGCATTGCAAGCCCCAACACATTTGTCACCTTCTTCATAGAATATTTTCCTGAAACTAATCTTTCTCACCTTGCTGTGGATTCTCCTTTCTTTGATGCAGGACTTTAAACTTTAGCTTGTTTCAGTGCACATTTAATGTTTTATGTTATCTTCCCACACATTTTCAACAA